TCATCATGGACTGACATCAGTTGGGGAACCACTGAAAACCTGGGAGCACTGGACAGCTATTTCGTCCTAGTATGGGACTCCTCAGCAGTACGCACCCACGACCCGGCTGGGGACCGAACTCAGAAGCTTCACGTTTCAAGGCGAACGCGTTAACCATTCAGCCACTGGGTCAGTTTCCAGTGGTTCACAATTTCCAACTTGTGTCAATTCACGAGATAGCGCGACTGTCACCCAAGGTCTTCAGTTAGCATCCACTTCACTTCCGACTGGTTGACCCCACAGGTCACGGCTTCTCATTAGAGCTTCCTGATATCCATTTGAAGTTCCATACTAGGACGAAACAGCTGTCCAGTGCTCTCAGGTTTTCAATGGTTCCCCAACTGATGTCAGTCCATGATGAATACTACTTCTATATAACATAATGAATATTTGGGCGATATCAAGGCATTCGCATACAAGCCCATCTGCCAACAGATGTCGAACAATTCGACCCAGTAAAGCAACGGGAAATCGCAAGTATCAATAGAAAGAATTTCTAGTTCACTACTTTTGAGAGCATTTTTGCATTCGGTTATGTTGTATCACACCAGTATGTCGACTAAATAGGATACCGTCAGTCAAAACCATACTTATCATAGCATGTATCCTTTGCTGCATTGCATATTCCACTTTAAGTGTATATAAGCGTGCTTGCTTTAATAAAACGTCCCTTTAGTCTATGCTGAAATTTTCAATCTATTCATAAGTTTGAAGTGGACTGACTGTACGAATTTCAGTAGATGGTAGACCGGTGTTACAACTAATGTCCCCATGGTTAAGAATTTCCTATCTAATCTAATGAGTCACAACTCTACAAGTATCGCAATAAAAGTTAAACATTCAAAGTATGTAGCTTCAAAAAACAAGAGGCTGTAAAAACAATCCTCCTAGTAAACCAAAAGTCTTCTTTACCATCAATACTTCGATTCAAATCATGCAATATTAGACATTTCTACAGGTTTATTCATCGTATAAACTAAGCAGTAAAGTGGGAGTTAACTGTTAAAATAAGAAGTATAACTCCATTGTCTCTCCGTTACATTGAAAGTTGTGTGTGTGTGTGTGTGTGTGTGTGTGTGTAGGGGGTGGGTGGATAAAAACGAATAAACATAGCTTGGTAACCACGTTCTTTCCAAAAAGTAAACAATCAAATCGCATATTATGTAATGGAAGTAAAAACTGGTCGTCTGGCTTGGTAGATTGAATCAGATGAAAATAGTTTTCAAATCTCTTTTGACCATAATAATCTTAATGAAGTTCTTATCTGACTCAACCTATGAATCTGTAAGTGGCTTTAAGGAGAAAACAGTTTGTTTTCCTGAGTTTTTATTGATACATATATATATATATATATATATATATATATATATATATATATATATGAATATAAATCTTCATCCTCCCACCCCGTTCCCCCCCCCTCACCTACACACATACACGCACACGCACAAACTCTTTTCGGTGGAACGGAGAAACAATGGAATTATACTTCTTCTTTAGCAGTGAACTCCCACTTATCACTTAGTTTATGTAATGAATAAACCTGTAAAAATGTATACACTACCTGATTCAAAATCGTATGATGTCATCATTGAAAGATAATTTCACACTTAGCATTAATGATTTAAGTTTTCTTAAATCAGAAGGGCAATAAACATTACAAGGAAAAGAAAAAGTGAAGACGAAACATCTTATTGAAATTCTAGTGATAACCTATTTTGATTAATACTGAGTCATGCTTCGTGATGGATATCCCGAAGTTCAAACGAGAAGCTGTGACCTGTAGCATCAACCAGTTGAAAGTGAAGCAGATACTAACCAAAGACCTTGTGTGGTGGTGGCGATATATCGCAAATTGGCAGGAGTAGGAAACTGTGGACCACTGAACTCCTACCAAGTGACTGAATGGTTAATGTGTTTGCTGTGAAACTCGAAAGTTCTAAGTTCGATCCCTAGCCGAGTCGTGGGTGCATACTACTGAGGAATCCCATACTAGGACGAAATAGCTATCCAGTGATACCAGGATTTCAGTGGTTCTCCAATTGATGTCAACCGTGATGAATACTACTCTAGAATAATATCGATTCATCGGATCCCATGCATAAATAATTGTAGGTGTCTAAGAAAAGTAAGCAGCTTCTGTTCCCGTTATATCGTTCACATATAGTTCATAATTTTGTTGATTTATGATTCGATCTCTCAAATATCAAGTTCACTGGTATAACCAACATTGCAATTACAAACACACACACACACACACACAAATTAGTAACGGGATGGTAAGTGGTATTAGATGTTAGGTTGTAAACGCTCAAAACGGTCAAGGATCACTGGGCTAATTGACACAATATGACATTGTGGTCCATTATATTTTAATTTAAGATGTTAGAAGTCAATAAGTAAATGAAGGTGGTTCATTGATTGAACTCATGGTTTCTCAATTGAAATCTTGCCCTAGTTACTCGAACTCTGACAACAATGTGGCACCATATGGTTCATAGTCTAATACATAAAGCTTGTAACTGGTGGCTGAATGGCATCCACCACACTATATCATACAAAACTGTATTCACACTTTAACTGATGATATCAGTTTATAAGTTGACCTGAAAGGCTTAGCGCTAAAGTCTCTGACTTTAATATTGGGTGAGGCAATTTTCAACCCCTATGAGGATATAAGTTTCTTCAAGATTACAAAAACATTTTCTGTTGAGTGCTAATAGGCACGAAACCTAAGCCACAGAGGACTTTCTTGATGACTAATCCCCACCATCCAACACCAAAATAGAATATATTGTACTGTCGCGTTGTTTAGCCAAGTGACTACATTGTAAACTTGACCAATAGACTTCAGTCAGTAATCAGAAGGAAAAATTACACCAACTACATCAATTACTCTCTCATGATCAGTTTATGTAGAATCATGTCCATACTACTTTGATGTATCCGATATGGGAATAGCGAGGAAGGACTAGTCCGAAAAGAAACCAATCAAAATGTATTTTGTGTTATCATTTCAACAGTTAGACAAACAGATGGTGAACCAGCCAATCTAATTTGGGGGTTTGTGGGGATTTAGTGATTTTTCAAGTTGGTACTCATCATCCTAGTATGAGACTCTTCAGCAATGTGCACCCATGACCTCACCCAGTGGCTTAATGGCTACAAGCTGGTCACGGAACCTGAAGGTCCTGTGTCCGATCCCTGGTGGGGTCATGCGTGCGCACTGTTGAAGAGTCCCATACTGGGATGAAACAGCTGTCCAGTGCTCACAAGTTTTTAATGTTCCTCCAATTGATGTCAGTCCATGATGAATATCAACTTGAAAAATCAGCCAATCAACAGTACTATTTTAAACAGCGAACTATCTATGTATTAGATATATTTTCCTTTGTTCTGATCTTCGGTTTTTCGACTCTAATACACGTTACTGCAACCCCATCGTGTCTTCTTCATTAATTAGTGGGGTCGGGAATCAACTAGGAATTTGTTACACGTTGGTGGCTGCCACTCGATATCCGTGCATCGTTAGCGGCCATGAGACATAGCAGTCTTCGAATCATAACAGCATCTGTACTGAAGAACTTGGATAAGATCAGATCACAGCTGGTCAAACTATAGGTTCTTAAAGGATTTTAGTGCAAGTTTAATAATTCAATAAATGATGTCGTGATGCTTACAACAATGCATTCTACCAAGGAATAGGATTATCTTGTTGAGTGATAAGTAACAAGGAAAAAATGTAAGTTGAACGGAGGAAGCAGTTATCTTTACAGTTCGCACAAACCGAAATAGCCAGTGAAAGTTATGCTATGAAAACTCAAAAATCCCTTCCATGTGAAGCTTTCTTGGTGACTAACAGTGGGATTCAGGAAGCTCATTTCGTCCTATTTGGGACTCGTCAGTCAGGTGTCTCTGAATCCTAGTGTCTGGTGTTGTTCTCACTGACACGTAGACCCAGTACTCATCGCTTCAAACGTCAAAGCCAAGGGCACTGGACCACAAGAGCTTTCTGAGTTGATAGCCCAACGTTGACTACTAAAACCATTTTACTCAGAGGATAGTAAAGCACTAAAAAAACAACACTGAACTGATGAAGTGTACACATTTTAGTACTCAAAGGAAATATACATTTATGATAAGTTCAGTGATGCGGTGTTTTCTGAACTAAATAGTTTAGCTAGAAATCTTACGTTGCCTCCTTAGATTAAATAATCAGCGGTGGAGTTCTTTCGATGTTTATGAAACGTGAAACAACCAAACAACGTTGTGAACTAAAAGTTATTGGAACATCGTTAATCAATATAGTAGAAGAGGATAGTTATTTTCATGGACTGTTATCATTTCGGCTATCATTTGATACTAATATGAACCAGGCAATTGTTTCACACCTGTTTTAGAACTGTTTATTAATGCAGAATCTGTCAGTGAACGGCAGTCGAACCTAGGATCACAATGTTACAATTGAAACCAGAATAAAACATTTGCATTGACTGGTTACTACTGGAGAGCAATCAACTTCAGGTTGTGTAGCCCTAGGTGTTCACTCGATTAAAGCGATCATTTTTGCAATATAGTCACCAAGCTAGGCGGCTCAACATCACGATGCACTTTGATAATGGATTAGAGACAAGCAGCAGGAAAGTATCCGGACCTAAGTTTTGTGTTTGTTGGCACTGGTCAGCAAGGCGTATCTGCAAACCCAAGGGATCTGTTGGGCTCGAACCCACATCATCCACCTTTGTAGTCAGAGACGTTACCACTGAGCTATTCAGGTCACGACTGATCTCCTTCAGGAATGAATTAGATACATTTTCCAATATTTCCTTGTTTGGTTAAGTCATCTATCCATTAGATAAACAGTAACCTTCATGTGAATTACTTCTCTTTTATCACACATAAAGTATAGATAATTATAATAAAGGGAATCAGGGAGGAAAAAAATCACAATATCCACTCACATTCGTTATTTGTTTCACCATTATTCTGTCTAGTCACAAATAAGGTATTACACGCCAGCAGTAAATAGCATATGGCTGTGCTTAACAAAGCCCATTGAGATGCATCCAAACACCAGGATAAAAAGTCTGGGAACTTTGAATCTTGTATAATTATCCAAATATAATCCATAATAAGTAGTGTTAAAAAGATGATGGCAAAAATGAATCTGTATACTGTTAATGTGTTAGGACGATTAAGACGTGTGTACTAAAAGAAACACAAACAAGAAAACAAAAACGATTAGTAATCAATATTTTATAGAAACCAATAATTCTCACCATATATATATATATATATATATATATATATATATATATATATATATATATATTCATGTGTGATAACTAGACAGCAAAATCGAAGTGGACTCAGAACCCTTGTATGCATTCGTGCAGTAGGCAGCAATGAACAACATCTATTGTGTAAGGATTAGTGATACTGCCAGGCTGCCCAAACTTCGGTACGTGTGACAGAGTTCGAACTTATGCTTCATCGGTTGAAAGTTTTCTGTCTAAACCAATAAGCCACAGCTCTAGACAGGACTTTCCCGAATATCAAGACTACGATTTCCTTCAAGTATCGCGGCTACAAACTGGACATCAAGATATTGGATTGAAATAGCACAGTAACTTGATTAGACTTTGAAAACGTTAACAAAAGAATGACAACTAGTTAGCTTAATAATGACCTAATGATGTTTAGAAGAAGGCTGAGGTTGACTTCATTGAGATATGGCAACAACTGCGTGTTCATCTGAATTATTTAGGGATGTGTAGGGCTCCTGATTTAGGGTCTATGAAACTGAAATTAGTAATTCGTTTTTTAGGTGATCAATCGTAGCCATGCTTATTCACTATCACATGCAAATCTTAAAGATTGTATTACTAAGTATTCCTATCCTTTTTATTAACTTTTCTTCGATCAGTTACTTTCTTTATGCTGCTGATATCATGACTTTTGTTTTTTGTTTTCCTTACCACTGATTCTGCTTACCAGTTAATGTGGTATTGTGAGATGTGGTAGCTTGGACCAATTTGGGATTCGTCAGATGGATGTGCCTGCACCCTAGTGACTGGTGTTGTTCCGCCCAGGACTCGAACCGAGCACCCAGCATTTCCAACGCCAGTGTCATCCACTAGGCCACTGGTCAGCAGTCGGGTCTCATAACTCAGTTGGTAAGGAATCGGGCCGGGAACTCGGTGGTCTCTGGTTCGAGTCCGACTACGGTCCAAACCTTCATTTCACCTTCAATCTCTACCACCCAGTATCAATACTAGTCTGACAAACTACGGCTACTTCAGATGGTCAGAATGATAATCGATACGATGCTCCCCTTCTCTAATTTAGTTAGATTCCGATGAGAAGTCTTGAATAGGCAGCCAGTGGCAGTACGATCAAGAGATAGTAACGCGTCACGAATTCACATGGTAGTGTGGCAAACCCATGGTGATTGAAGTGAAATAAAAACCTGGTCAGCAGTTGGGCCTCATAGCTCAGGTGGGGTAGAGCACCAGGCCGGAAATCCGGTGTTCGCTGGTTCTAATCCCTCTGTGGTCCAAATCTTCATTTCACCTACAATCATCATCCAGTACCGATACATAATCATTTGAAATCCAACGTTTTCGTGTACTTTCTGTTGACTATGACTTCATGGTTCCAGTTTTCATTCTCAGAGAAATTGCGACTGCTGGAGTTCTACTATAGGAAGGCATCGATTTTCAGTACCGTTTGATTCTTAGTAATATTGTAAAAAAACCATACATCAGCAACTAATTCCTGATGTAAATCAGTGAGAAATATGGGACGATAGAAGACTATTTTGAGAAGGCTCAAGGTTTGGCATTATCCAAGAATTCAAATGCACTCAGCACATTCATACAATAGGCAATGAGCAACATCTATTTTGTGAGGGCTAGTGATACTACCTGGCTTCCCTCACCTTAGTAGATTGCGCGGTGTTCAAATATAGTGAGATGGTTAGTTCTCCGGTTTTTTTGCTGATACTTTCGGCAGTATCAGCTAAAAAATATATAGGAACTGAGTACCAACGGTTTTTTTTCACATCTCATTAGCTAATTTACACTGAAGTTACTTTCCAGTTTGAAGAAAATATTATGACTATAAGCTACCTCGCTTGGGATTACATAATTCTGAGAAATATAAATGCAACTTAGCAACTATGTGCAGGTTTTTGCACTAGACAATACTGATACTACCTATCTGTTTCAACCTCTGCAAGTGGTGAGTCAGGCTAAAACCTGTAACCTGCCAGTTGAAGGTCAAGTGGCTAAACCAATGAGCTTCACATACAAACCTCCTACAAGTGGATCAGTTTCATCGTTTATATTATTTTATTGGTGACGAGTTTTCACTTAGAAATAGGAGACTAAAATTACTTGAAAACAAGTTGACTTAGACTATTTTAGAATATTTCAATTCATGAACAGATATATCCAGTGCTCCCAGATTTCCTTTGTTCCTCCAAATGATGTCAGTTTACGATGAATAACAACTTGAAATACTTCCAAATCCACACAACTCCCTCGAAATTCAATTGAACTGTTGCTCATTGGTGACTAGCTTCGAGAGGTATTCCCGAAGTTCCAATGAGAAGTCGTGACCGGTGGGGGCAAAGCCTGGTGGTTGTGAGGACAGTTACTCAGTGATCACACTGGGTGGCGGTTGCGCTATATCGTGAGCTAACACAAGTTGGAAATATGGACCACTGGATTCTGACCCAGTGGCTCAATGGTAACGTGCTGGCCACGGAACCTGAAGGTAGCGGGTCCGATCCCTGGCGGGGTCGTGAGTGCGCACTGCTGAGGAGTCCCATACTAGGATTAAACAGTTGACTGTCCAGTCCTCCCAGGTTTCCTTTGTTCCTCCAACTGATGTCAGTCTACGATGAATAACAACTTGGGATATTTGCAAATCCGCACAACCCCCTCAAAATTGAATAGACATGAGTTGAAAACATACTTTTAAAGAACAACTAATGTTATTAAAAAGGCAACACATTTACCAATCACATCACAGTATAATTTGTTTTATTAAATCTGATACATGAAATCAATATCAGGATCATATGGAAATCAGCTGGACCAGTATGTAATAAAAAACACTGCTTAGTTTTCTTTACTAATCAAAAGTCATTAAATATGATGACTACTTTTGCGACAAACCTGTTTCATCAGTTAATAATAAAAATATGACCAATTAAGAAGGTAACTAGTGTTTATATAGCAAGTTGGCATATAGTTATCAATGAAAATTATTCATGGAAAAAGGAAACAGTTTTCAAAACATTCTGACTATGGTAATGAGCCAAGAATACCTTGAAAGAGATAATAATGCACTAACTATGCACATTTTTATGAATTAGCCAACAAGTTACACTTCATTTGAATGCCAATGATACCTACTGCCTAGTTGCTCCAACCTGAATAGTCCCAGTAGAGCTCGAATGTATAACGTATTGGTTGACAATCAAACAACTGACGCTTAAGCCAGAGAAACAACGATTGCAAAGGAGAGAGACAGGTAGATAATAAGATGCCGGAGATTCAGAGCAAGATTAGCATCAAATCAGTCTGTGTCACTGCAATCAATTTAAAACTGTATTAAATATGAGCTGCAACCCTTAAGTTCGAACATTTTCAGGAACCACAAAAGGGAAGTCTTTACTTTCCTCTACGACTCAAATTAAAAGAAACTTTGGCAAAGGATTTCCCCACATCGAAATTTCCAATAAACTGTTCGTGCTCCAGCCATTATCTAACGTGTTAACAAACAATGATTCAGTATATGCGGCGAATATCCGTATACAAATCTACGAGTTTACATTCAGTTTGTTATAGTGAGTAGGAAGGCGGTTACCTTGAAACATACTTTTGTATACTCTTATTGCATTCATTTCCTATTCATCTGCGCTTTCCATGCTGCTGTGAATTGAAGTAACTCGAAGTAATGCGTTTTTGTGCTACGATCAATATTCACCTATCTGTCTGTCCCAATCCAGTGATAAACACCGACTTTCGCATTCGAAATGAAAAAAAAAGAAATGGACTCGGTAACCTTGTGCACGTTCGTGCAGTAAGCGATGAGTCACATATTATTTGAGGGTCAGTGATACTACCTGGCTATCCAAACCTTGGTAGGTCGACTTGAGTTCGGACTCGTGACCCAAACGTTTAAAACCGACTAACTAAACAAATATGCCACAGCTCCAGATTTGCGTTAAGCCATCCGCTTTCATGAAAAGATACCTGTCGTGTGAAAGCAGAAAACAGGACCTTGTTGATAAACAATTGGAACTCATGGATGCAAGACAGCATTTCTAGAGGATGTACTCATCCTGACCGCAAGCGCGTTAGAACGTTTGGTTGACAATCAAGAGACGAAGGGTGTACAGACTTTTGTTGGATACAGACCAGTTATTATTTTCAATTCCCATAGTTAATGCTGTGTGAAAGAAGGGTTCGGTTACTATTTGAGGTTTCCGATGGTAAGTGATGAATAATCTTCAGTGCATTGGTCTTAACTATGTGACCACTACCGACCAAATGCGATAATACTGATGTTCTTATCGATTTATTCTCTCTTCCCTAACCATGAAGTTAGATGTCCAACAATACTACGTTAACGTAGCTAGTATCTCACCCTTTATAACTTACTCCACAGATAAAGTCAGGTGAGCGACAACGATCAGTCGGCTGGTGAATAATTAGCAAAGCTTAGCAGTATAAAAAACTACTCTTAATGGGTTTTCGAACAGCAGATTAGATGCATGGATCATTTCACTTATTTGGAAAGCAGTATCAAGCCTAAATGGTTCGTTAGTGAAGATATCTTAAGGTAGATATGAAAAGCGTTCCCTATCTTTTGTTGCAATGTAGTATACGACTGCCAATCAAAGGCTGTGTGATGCACAGTAGGCTTCCTCTTCCTCATTTACAGCTGTCAGACATGGCCATTGAGGGTAAAATGGCACGGAATTACGCCTTTTTCGATGATGTTTCTCCATACCACTCCAAACATATGGTAGAATCACAACGTCCGAAACCCTGAGATTGGTCGTAGAGTGCTAACTAAAGAAGGCAAGTAAGTCAGTGAGATGATAACCTTGAGCTGACCGAGGTGACTCCAATATGCGTTACGTAGATTAAGTTGTTAACCTCGCCTGGTTTACTAGTTCACTAGTTACTAAC